GTCGTTTTATTTTACACGTCGTCTTTTTTAATGTGTATATTAAAAACCCGGTAAAATGGCCCTAACATGCAGTACTATTAGGTTACTAATAAGTTTCACTCTTTGAGGCCCAAGCATATCGTATATCCCGTTAGTAAAAATTTTTTCTTCATAAGATAATCTCAAAAGACGCTTCTGATGAAGAATTTCGTGGTCCGAATAAAATTGAGAGAAGTACAATTTTCTGAATATACAGAATTATATATATTCATGTTTGCACATGTAAATTAAAGTTACGGAATTTAATAAATTCTATAACCATAATAATGAACATAAAAGCGACAATTTTAAGATAACATTGAAAAAATAAGAACAAAATTTGCTTACTTTTTCTTGTAAGGAACAATTTTTGGCTCGACTTGTCTTCTCCAAAATGTAGTCATTACTTATTCTTTGAATATTCAATAAATAATGACATACTCGATAAATAATGAATCAATATGATTAGAAAATCCTAATTACATCGATTTTTAAGGTTGTTCTTGTAGTTTGTGTATGTCAATGGACATGAGACGAATATCGCACTTTGAACATTTGTAGCTCACACTTTTTTACTGTGCGTACATGATGAGTGATTTATATAATAAAGATCACGTGGCCTAATGCAGAGATAACGTGGATTTACTCAAATCTTTATTGCAGAATATTTCAGAGTCATCCTCTATTAAGTTAAGTATGGCAGTATAGAGTAATCTATAGATTAGGTTTTTGTTTGACAGAGTGAATGCCCTGAATGTCTCTTCATTGTTTTGACTGTTCTCTTTTTCTCTTTTTGGAGTGAAATGGTAGACCCAGGACGATGGTTAAAAATCGATGTTAAAAGTCCTTCAGTTAAACGAAACCATATCAAAAGGTGCAAAAAACAGGTGGAACTGTTTAGTCTCTGTTGGTGTGACGAATCGCAGAACTCATCGCATAGAGTTCATTTGTCAAACAAAAACTAATCGAAAGATCACTTTATATCGTTATACTTAACCTAATAGAGGATGGCTCCGAAATACGGTAATAAAGATTTGGTAATAAAAAACTCGCGTTATCTCTATATTAGGCCACGTGCTTTCTTTTCAACGACCGCGTCATTAATTGCTACAATTGGCGGGGCGTTTTTTCATGAAAAACGACTTCACAAAACGACGGCAAAATTTATGCGGCCTCTTACGCGTCGAGTAATCCTCATTCTTCCCGTCGTAGATTGACGGCCGCGTCTAAACACGGTCGATTGTAGTTCCGTATGATTTTTAATAAACGCCGATCAGACAGCCAGATGTACCGCACGGTGCTTGACTCGACCCGCGCGAAGAGCCACTCGTTCGGCTTATACCCGGTGCCACTCGTGACGCACAAAACTGACGGACGAACGGACGTACGTACGTACTGTGCGCGGAACACATATTACGCGAGCGGGAACACGGCGAACAAAGCTACGCCATTGTTTCGTGCCATCAATAATCCACTTGCCGCGACTTGGAGGACCCCGGCTTGGGCGCACGGCATGGGGGTGGCACAATTGGAAAAAGGCAGCCGGGAAACCGGGACGTCCATCTCCTTCTTCTCCGTCTCGACGACGAAAAGGGAAGACAAACTGTCGGGGTTTTGGGGTCAACCTCGTTTAAGGATCGCGTTGTTCCTCAAATCCGTCGTTCGTCGTCTTTTATCCGACCTGCAGTCGGTGACACTTGATGTGTTTTCGGGACAAGGTCTAAAATGTTTGGTAATCCTCGGTGCTTGAAACATTTTGGATTATGCAGAGGGAGATTTTCTTTCTCCATGCGGGGAAAGGAGAGGGTGAGAGAGAATATTATTTCTTTTCATATAAATTCTTTTCAATTTTTCTAAGTCGCTAGTAGTGCGTCAGTCCGGAATAGTCCGTCAGTAAAGTCTATTTTGATAAGAAACACAGTAAATTTCGCTGGAAACGTATTTCCTTATTCTGAACTCTCTTTTCTTGATCAAAGTGCCTATAAATATGCTCATGAGTCAATCAGAAAGTTTATAAATCACATTTGGAAAGAATCATTTTCATTGAAAAAAGAGAATTCAGATTAGGGGCTATAGCGAATTTTGTTGCACCGAGAAAAAGAATATAAAAAAAGAGAGAAAACATTTATTCGGTAAGCACTTTAATAACATATTTACTTAACACGTTTGTTATCAGCCTCACACATGTGTATACACACATACACATGTGTGACGCACTATCTCTCATTTGTAGTTCATCCTTTACGTAAAATCTTCAATTTTACTTAACATGTCCGCTACCAACGTCATGTATGTATGACAATGACATTTTTCTTCGTATACCCACATATAAATAAGCCAAGTCTGCTTTACATAATTACAGAAAAACAAATGTGATGTGGTCTGTGGAGAGAATTTCCCAGATAAACCGTGGTAACGCGAACGTGTTAAATTTAAATTCTTTTATTTAAATAGAATATATACGATTGTTTTCAGGAAAGGCTAAGGTTTTACGAAAATGTGCATTTTTTTATTTCAAAAATATTTTGCATCAATATAAAGATAAATAAGTTATTATTTCTCATCAAATATAAATATATTTTATTTCTCAAATATTTTCTTCTTAGTGTAGAAGCAAATTTCGTAATGGCACATTTCAGTTCCTAAAATATGAAAAGCATACATAAAGTTACCGCAGAATGTCGATCGATCCCTCGGTTACAAAACTCCATAGCAATTTTCACTACAAAGTTCTCTGCGCGCACGCACGTGCATTTGACGATAGAAATCGGTCAGTGATAAAAATGTGTTTCTTCGAACAGAGAAAAGGGATCATCGCGTGATGAAAAGCGGCGCGACCGGTCGGACGGTCGGGAAATTAATTACACGTCTCTCGTATTATTTTATTTCATATTCGCGCCGGGGACGTTTCTTTTTTTCTGGACGCTTGAAAAAATTCAGGTTATTCCGCTCGACACTCGACCGGCGTTCGTAATTCTGAAGATAGAGTGTAGTTATAGCTCTTTTAAAGGAGTCGATGTTTCCGCACCAATTTTCTTGGAAAGAACTTCTCGGAAAAATTGAGAGAAATCCTCGATCTACCACGGCTACGGAAATGCAGAAAACTTTACGGGCTACTCAACGGGACGGAAAGTAATAATTTAGACCTAATATTTAACAATCTTCGCAAATATATTTTACCGGCGCTGCTAATACAATAAAGTCATCGTTTCCCTCTTGCTCCCGACTTGCTGCCGTGTAACATTTAGTCGGCGAGACGAAAGAACGAAATTGGAAACGCCGATCTTCGGCACTTCGCTCGGCGCAAAGAAAGAACAAGAAGACGAAAGGAAGGAAGAAAAGAGGAACATTTTCACTTCTCGAAATCGTTCGTAATTAGAGATAGACGCACACGGAGTCGAAGGCTCTTGCAGTCGAGAGACGTGTACGAGCATTCTCCTAAATCTGCGTCATCCCTCTCCTCCCTCGTTCCCTCTCACACCCCCGCGAACTGAAATCCGCGGAAACGGACATCGGCGGCTCGACACCGATATCGGATCCTCGTTCTCTCGCGGCGATACGCGCCGCGTATTAATCCGCCGTTTGTTTTTTCGCGACGTCCAATCGGCAGAATGATAAGCAAACACGGCGTCCGCGCCGGTGCGCGGATTCTACCCTGGAAATACCCTGGATATCGCTCCGCCGGCGAGGTGGAGCAGGAGGAAGGATCCGCAGCGTTGGCAATCGAATGATTAAAGGCGACTTCGCCTCGGTCGCTCTTCCCCGCTCGATAGGGCGAAACTCCCGACGGAAATCAGAGTCGCCGGCCATCCAGGCGGATTCCCTCTTTCTAGGCACACCGAGACCGATCTCCCTCCGTTTCTCCTCCTTTTCCTCCTCTCTCTCTCTCTCTTTCGTTCTCTCTTCCGCCGCACCCACCGACCTAGGCCTCAGTCCTCTTCGCCGGAGAGCCACCACCACCATCATCACCACCCCCGAAGTCGCCCAGCCGTCCTTCCAACCCGAGCTCCTTCTAAACTCTCCAACATCCGCGTCCCTCTCGGTAAACAGCGAGCTGTGCCCCAAGTATCGGAACAGAGTCCTGAGATACGTATGTGCGGAAATACACGCGCGCGACGTACATGCGTGTGTATATATTCGTATTAGATATTACATACTTTTTGCCTGTGTATACACACACGTATGTATACATACAAATGTATGTCGGGCGCGCTGCAGGGCGGGATATCGATTTATATCCGCGAAAGCTCGGTGGCGGATGTATGGAAATCGATACAACGCCCTCGCCATGGTCGCCTCTCGGACTCTGCGCGCGATGCACGCGACGGAAACGACGATGATAATCGCCGTAATAATTGCGCCGCCGACGACACGTGGCGTTTAATTTGAGTTACTCGGGTAATCCTGAGCGAGATATGAAAACGGGGTTGAAAAGGTCCCGAGAGGATCCATAGTCGAGTATCGCGTCGCTGAACGAGTATCAGTAGAAGTCCTTCAGTTGAGACATTGTCTTAGAAAATTAGTCGATGCAGACGTCGCATGACGATCTTAACCCGTAGCTTTCGTGCATGCAAAACTTCTCACAAGTCTCGAAAAATGCTACGGCGCGCCCTTCGAGTCTTAGGTTCGGATTTAAATTAGTCACCGCTAGTTTTAACCTTCCACCGAAGAAAAGAACGTTATCTCGAAGATATCTTTATTTTTAACATATAAATCTTCAAGAGTGAGGTCGTATGTGTGTGTGTTTGTGTAATTCATCAAACGAAGATGAATTATTTGCATCATATATTTCATATGATTTCACAAAGAAAAATATATTTTTATTATTTAATAATTGTCCTTAATAAGAAAGTACAAAATATTTAATACAAAATACGATATTTTTAAATGTCTGAAGAAAATATCGTTATCGTAAAAATAATTATATTGTACTTCTTATTGAACCTATTACAATATTCAAATAAACTGATTCGCGTTGAAATTCAAGACTTAAAAATTCTCCTAACAAAATTGTACATCGTTACTTATATATAAAATAATGATTATTAATTTGAGTATATTAGTTTTAAGTGGGCGCTAATTTTTTTTTGTGTTCGCGTACAATGTTGGGTCTGCGAGACCTAAACGAGTATTCAACGATCACTCAACAGCAAAAAAGATCCGAAATTTCAAAACTGCGAAAACCTATTTACAGATTTCTATTTTATTGAAGACAGCTTAATATATAGGTGATATTTTTCTGAAAAAAAATGTGTTAAAAACTGCAGATTTTCAACAAAGTTATGGTAGTTGAAAGCTGCCCGGGTCTGACAGATTCTCTTTGTATAGTCCTGAAAAAATGATTTTGCACTAAGGGTTAAAATTAATTTAAGAGCAGATAGGCGCCACTTCAGCGCTTTCCGAATTTTGTAAGGAATTTTGGATTTTGGCCGCTACATACAGCGGTATTGAAGCGCAAAGGGCTAATGTGCACGTAATAAATGCGTGTGAGTGTGTGAAAGCGCTAAGTTCGTTATTCACGACAGACGCGCCGAATTTCAGCGCACTCGGCCGATCGATCGACGTTGTTTTTAATCGGCATTATGAACCGTTTGGTTACGTCCAGTCGCAACGAATATTCCCGTGATAAATCACACCGTTAACAGGGAGAAAAGAAAAAAAGCAAGAAGACAAAAAGCAGGAAAAAAATGGTGCGCCGATCCGTCCTCGTTTACGACTTGCTTCGCACCGAGCAACCGTCCGACGGCTTTTCCCAGAAGGAGATCTTGACGCACATCAGCAGCAAATATGACATCGCGGCCAGCAAAACTTTACAGCGAGACGTGGCCCTCGCCTTGCGTTGCGGTTTAGACTTTGGTATACTCGCTAAGAAGAGGAACAAATTCAGGTGCCTCTTCTTCGGAAAGCTTTTCCGGGAAATAACTTCGGGTCCCCGGAAAAAATCCCCGGGGGCGAAACTCGTATAACTTATATAACTTCGGCCGCGCGCGAGCGAGAGCTTTTCCCTCAATAAATTACTTCTCGACAAATTTTTCATGATTAAATGGTTTACAGGGAAAAGAGGAAGAGGGGAAGAAAGCTGCGTAGGAGAGATATGATGCATAAATAATTATTTGGAGAATTGAAGGGGTCATTAAGTAGCATTTTTATCTTACGAGTTATATTAGACGAACGTGCGCGGAGTTCTCTCTTTTCAGCGCTCTCGAGGCAATATCGAGATGGAAGTTTACGATTTCAAGTATCTCAGTGATCGCACAGCATCCGTGGTATATTATTTCGACAGGTTTGATCCCGAGCTTCATCAAACCGCGAGCTCGAGACGCAATATCACGAGGAGGAGCACGAGGACAAAGAAGAGGACGAGGAGCAGCGGGAAAAAGGTAAGCGGTGGATCGACCGCGACTAAAGGACGACGGCAACGACGACGGCGGCCTTCGACCCGCGGCAAGGCTCGCAAACAATCGGTTTCGGTACCGCGGCCTAAATTGCCCAAACCGCCTTCATGGTCGCCGAAGAGGCGATATCTTAGCGAGGAGCCCATACCGAAAGTCATTAAACATTCTTAAATTAGGATGATACTATTTTTATAATTCTTTCTCGGCATTTTCTTACGATAGTTTTACTTGCTACGCCGTGTATACGTTTGAGATTACGTTTACGTCTATTATAAAAAAACGCTTAATAACAAAAAGAAATAAAATACGTACGTGAAAATTATTCAGCTCTTCGGTCTGTTCTCTTTCTTTCTCTCTCCTTCTTGGCGAAATTTTGGTTCTACCTTAATCTTGAAGTGTAACATTATACAAACTGTTGTCTTCTAATGTTAGAAATGGTTATCTACCGCCGTTTTATTGAGACTTAAAGAACTCGTTAAAAAAATTATTCAATTATCTCATTTATCAATGCCGAGTTTCCATGTTGAGACTCAAAAAGAAGAACTTCTATGTAGAAATTTTTATTTGATCGTCTCAATATATAACCCACATGCATTTAATCTTTATTATTAATTTCAACAAATAATATTTGAATTATGGAGCTTACAAATAAACCTACCCAAAAGTTACACTTCGATTTCTTTCTAATTTGGCACAAATGTAGAAGTACAAAAAATATTTAGGTCATATTTTTTTATTTTGGCTCACTTTGAATTTCACGGGCAGTTTATAACCTTTTAATGTTCTCACTCCTATCATCAACAAGTGCAACAAAAATGCATAAGAAATAAAATTGAATATAAGATATAGGCATTTTTGGTTTGCTGATTATGAATATAAAATCAAATGTATAAAATTATTTGTATAAATAATAAAATGTTTAAACAAAACATGTAAAAAATTGAAAAAATTATTTATACAAATAATTTCTAGTTTGGCCGAGATTCGAACCATTTTTGACTAATTTAGCACAGATTTGAAATATTTCGGTTTGAATCTCAGCTAAAGAAATTTAGAATGGTTCGTGTCTCAGCTATGCCGATTTTGTTAAAATTATTTAATTATATTTTGTATTCAGTTTTGTTTTTTATGCATTTTTGTTACACTTGTTGATAGAAGTGAGGACATTAAAAAGTTATAAACTGTACGTGAAACTCAAAGTAGGTCAAAATGAAAAAATATGATTTAAATATTTTTTGTACTTTTACATTTGTGCCAAAGAAATCGGAGTGTACCTTTTCTGTAGGTTGTTAATCAACTGCAGTTAGAATATATTTACGATAAACAAGTATTGAATAATCTAATTAAGATTAACGAGTAAGTGGATATGTAAGGGTAGGATCTATTTGATGTTGCAAATGCTTCAAAGCGTCGTATAGACCAATCATAATCCTTTACGCGCTCCAAAGCAATTACAGCTCCAAGTAGATTCAAAACACAAGCGTTTATCTTTCGTAATCTTTTTGCTGTTCTTTTTTATTAGTATTAGAAATTTCGATAAATTGGAGTTTCCAAAGAGATGAAAAAAAAAAGAGTTGTAATTCTCATAGTCGACTGCCGCTATGCCACGCGTCCTGTAACTCCGAAGTCAGCTCCTGGAAAAAGTATAAACTGATCTGAAATTAATTAACGATCAGATGAATCGACGACGATAATCAAATACTACGAGCATCACTTTACGATATCGCGACACGTATCGCGCCTGCAAACGTTCTGATAATTTGATCATTTGGTAATTTAACTTCAAAGGTCTGGAATATTGCAAGTGTATTGATCATCGCGATTTCTCGGTCACTAAATATCTACAAGACATATATCTATTAGATAATACCTAACCTGGAATTTAAAATCCACTATTGGTCTTGAATATGTCGTCTTTTAATGCTCCTTCTGTTACCTGACACACTATTAACAACGTAACTCTGTTAGACAAATGAAAATTTTTCTTTCGCTTTGTCTTATTTTTACCGCATTTCTTTCATACGTGTTTTTTGACATTTTCCTCAAACGCCTGTATTTCGTTTCAAATGTAAGAGAAAACTTCTAGTAGCCGGCTTTACCCGTTTTCGGCACTTTTGCGCGGATATTGTCGGATATTAATTAAGGTGTATAGGGATTTAAAAGAAAACAAAAAAAAGTGGATAACAAATATAATAAATAATTGATAAATATAATAAAATAATTAATAAATCCACGCCTTGAAATTGGACCCCGAGCAAGAGTATCGAAAACTAGCGAGTGGTGTAACGAATGCCGGATCTCTGATGTTTTTCCCTGGTGCGACGGTTACAAAAAAAATCTCGCGCGACGAGCGAGAGTACTACAACAATTGGCAAGAAATGTAAGCTTACACACATTCCCTCCTATCACAAACGGTCGTCGTTCATCGATAAGCTCGAGCGATCACATAATCAAAACATACACAACCTCCAAGGCGGTTGAATGCCTCGTGGACTTTTCCGGACCTTTTCATTCAGTTTCGGGCCGGCGAGCGACGCGAATATCATGTGTATCGGTGTTCCTCTGCACAATCGAAATATTCGCGATCTCCAAGACGGTCAAGTGCCTCGCGGACTACACGTGTGCTGACGCGTTGCTTATTGTTTCTCTTTGATGATTAAATTAATTCGTTTTTCGAGATATTTAATTGAACTCTCGTCGCGCGCGGCATCGCGTTATTTAACACGTGCGTTTCCGATTGAATCGTGTTCACGCGAGTGTCAGTGTCAGAACGGAGCAGCCAATCAGGTCGAGAAGCCAGGACGAAGGACGGAGGACGCAGGACGTCGGGACGCGGGCAGCGATCTATACATCGTATATTTTCAAGGTGTGTCAAATTATTTATTATACGAGAAGTCTGCTTGACGAGCCTGTCAAGAAATACCCAAGTCGAAATTCTGGCCGGTATTCGTAGTTTGTCATTATTTGACATATAATTATAGATAGCTTCATTGATCCCCGATTAATCTCGTCAAGCTGTAGCTGAATTCATTGCATTATTTCATACAAGCAATATTGATCCAAATAGCCGAATAACGGTGCATAAATACAAATCTGTAACCAATTATGTTCTCAATCAAAGATCTTAAATAATTCACGACTCTATGAATGCCGGCCATGGAACATAATGTGTATCTCGCGAGTGCTTATTTTCATGTCTAATAATGCTTCTTTGGCCGCGAGTCCGAGTTCGTTGACGTCAGCCAACCTCTTTCTGTGCTTTTGTTTAGCCTTTATTATTGTGTCGAACCTAAAATTAAACCTATTGATAAACAGCATTATTGGGCACATATAACTGTTATTTTTATCTTTTCAGCTTCATATCAGCTCTTTTAAGAGCTATAAATCTCATCAAAACTTCCGTTACGAAAAAAAAAGAAAAAAAAAGAAAAAAGAAAGATTAGGAAGAGATGAGATTGTTCTTTTATTCACTTAACCACGCAGTAATTCTTATTTAATAATTTAACGTCCGCTTATCCGATTTAAAAAAAATATATAAATTACGTTCGAATATAGCCACACTTCGTCAATTGCCAAACACGCAGTGAGAAAAATGTTTGAAAGTTTATTTTGTGGGATATAAAGTTTGTTTCTATACTAATAGCGGTAGTGGCACAAACGATATGTGCGTTTTCCGAGATATTCCGGCCGAGTACAACTATCGTGAATGGCAATTGGCGAGTGGCTTTTGCATCGAATGCACACAATTTTTTCGACGTTCCCTCCGCGGAGGAAGAGGCATCGGTGGAGTCAGATGGCCGCTTAAGGTAGGTACTAAGGTAGATGGTGAGAACTCCACTTGCAACTAATGTTTTGATCTCTCATTCCTAGTTGAAAAAAATGGTATGCTGCCATAATTTCTCTAACTCCTGCTACTTCTGTGACTCTTTCGTTGAAAATCTTAATCTCAATATTTCTCCACATCTTGTTTAGTCTTGCCTTACTAAAGTTAACCAATTCTGACTGGATCTCTTTTTACACGTTCCTTATCATTTTAAATCACGTCACTTTATACGTTTAATCGTATCAAATTTCAATTAACATTTTTTAAACGTGTTGAATGACGTGACTTAAAACTGCAGGAAACGTGTAAAAACAATTTTGGTCAAATGACCCGGGTTCTGCGTTTAAAAATAACATACTTGAACATGCAGTGAATACGTTTAAATGGGGAGGAATGTTCGAAAAGCAGGATAGTGGGAAAGCAGAACGGACTTTACTAAATAATTATTTAATTTGAACCGTTCACGCAGCGGCCGAGGATTTTTCTTTCGGGGTTCGCACAAACGTGCATTTTTTCAGATTTTCTGTTGCCAAGCAGGGCAACTATCGCGAATAGTAGGAAGCATATGTTGGTTTTGTGCATTCGATGCAACCGGTCGTTTACTTTTTCCGAAAATTTCTACGCGAAAGGACGGCTTTGATTGCGCTTTAGATTTTGTCATTTTGTTCGAACATCGAGGTGAATATCGGATCTCGAATCTTTATCGTCGAATCGCGATTGTTCCGAGTGCAGTCTAAGCGTGTGAAAAATTCGATTAAAATATATGGACATAATCGCGAATATTCAATAATTAAAAAATAATTAATTAGAAATAAATAAAAAGTTGGAATATTAAAAAAATTGAACGAGTACTTCTTCGAGCTTCTTTACCACGGAGAAAACAATAGCAATCGACCATTTGCAGTATCCAGGTAAGTCAATAGCTTGTATATGTTGCGATTTTTTATTGACTCTTCAAGTTCGACGGAATTTGCAGGGTCAATGTAGAATCAAATTTCGACTTGGGTAAACGCTTTCAATAAGTCTCGACATGAAGGAGACAGCAATAAGTTACGATTTATAGTATCAAAGGAGCACAATAGAGTCCGTGCATAGAGAAAAATATCATTCTACTGCTAAGAAAAGCAATTACTCAGTTTAGTTTCCGTCTTTTATTATAAATATTGGTTATTTCCAACGAAACATATTTTTTCGGTAATAGTCTTAGAATATACTCGTCACAAATTTGAGAAAAATTTATTATCATATACTTAAAAGAAACATTGGCTTTACAAGAATATAAAATTTTATCCAAAAAAAGTTGTTTATATGGAGTAAGTAAATTGAATTTTTGTTTTAACTTAATTATATCTTTGGTTATATCTTTGGTTGAAGTGCTAAATCTACTAGTGCTCAAAATATATGTTGAATAAATTTGATGTTTCTTATGAGAGCTTATAGTATCGCGGATATATATGTATATATATATATATATATATATATATATATATATATATATAACCTTAGCAATACTTGAAATAAGTAATGTTTACTT